ATTGAGAAAATAGAAGTTCGTTGTAAAAATTGATTTTCAGAAAAGAGATCTGGGTTAGGTTTGTTATTATTCGTTAAATAATTTTTTAAAAAATATCAGCTTACTGAGCATGACGAGACGAAACTTTAAAAGCTGTTTATTATATTAATACGATTATTATATTATATTATTACAAACACTATAATTTAAAAATTTGAAACAATATTTCTATCGATATAATTTAAAAATTTGAAATAATATTACAAACGATATAATTTGAAAGGTGCCCAGGTCTGCTTGATAAATAAGTGTTATTTTACTTAAATATTGACTCCATGACACATTTTCTGTTGAAAGGCCTGCTTACGGTGGCAAATATTGCTCGGGAACCACTGACGATTGCAAGCTTTGCGATTTGCCGAAATGCTCCGCGCCGATTGATCTTAAAGCGCAACAGTGTTCCAAACTCTCGAATGTCCGGAACCTTGGACAGCTCCAGCCGAAGAACGACGTGACTTGGCTACCATACGAGTCCGATCAGGAGAATCTAAAATGTCAATTAGTGTGCAGAAGCAAGGAAACTGGCGAGATATTTTATTCGAGGAGAAATTTGATCGACGGGACTCCGTGTTCCTATGGATCGTCGGATATATGTATACAGGTAATATTAAACGACGACTATGACGTTAAAATTATATGTCAGGTCAATTTGATGCATGTACTTCGAATTTCTCTTTTTAAGAATGCACAATTACTAACAATTCTTACGTTATAATTTTTAACGATAATTGTTACAAAATAGCGTTAGGTTAATTGCATTCATATATTTAAAAAACTGTTTGAACTTTAATTGTAATGATATAGTAGTCTATTTAATAGACATACATTGTACAAAAATATAAAAAATTTCCTAATTATCCACTTTTCTATTTAAATACTCCATTTTTTTTTTTTTTATTTCAACGGCGTTAAACAGAAACGGTCCCAAAGAAATGTTTGGTCCATTTTTCAAACATTTAATATTAATAATTTACATTCTATATTATCAGAATATCAGAAAATGATTTTCTCGGTTTTCTATCGTCGGATCTGCGATGTTTTAGGAATATTCTATTGTTGTTTATATGTTCAGTAATTTTACGCAGGAACAGTTTAATGATTTACATAAATCTGGAAATTACCAAAAATTTGTAAGTGGTTTTAACAATAATTTAACGAATATAAACAGACCTAACCCAGACCTCTTTCCTGAAAATCAATTTTTACAACGAA